ACTTCGTGAAGTAGTCGACCGCCACGATTATATACTTGCGTTTTCCTTTTGCCGTGGGGAAGGGACCTAGCAGATCTAGGCCCCATTGCGCGAATGGGCACAGACTGATGTTTGATTGTAATTCCGCTGACGGCACGTGGTGAAGGCGCGCGTGTAGTTGGCATTTGTGGCAGGTGTCTACGAACTCTTTGGCGTCTTTTTTTATGCGTGGCCAGTAGTACCCGCTGAGCAGTATGTTTCTTTCTAGGCTGCGTGCTCCCATATGCATTCCACACATCCCTTCATGTAGGTCAGCGACAATGCGGCGGGCGTCCTCCTGGCCTACGCACTTCAGGTAGACCCCTGAGTGCGCTCTTTTATATAATTCATTGTCCACCATTGTGCTTCTGGCCGCCCTTTGCCTTAATCCCCATGCTTCTTTCGGATCTTTTGGAACCGTCCCGCTCAACAAGTAATCGATTATGGGGGTTCGCCAGTCCACCGGGGCTTGCTGCGTCTCGTTTATGCGGCCCTCCCCTTGGGTCAGGCTCTCTTTTTGTACACATACCATGCGCGTTTCCTCGAAGTCTGTTGCGGTGGCAAGCTTGGAGAGCGCATCTGCGTGTATGTTTTCTTCACGGGGTACGTGTGTGTATGTAACGGTGATGAAATTGGACGCGGCTTCCGCCACTTGGCGCATGTACTGCGTCAACGTGTCTTCTTTGGCGTCAAAGACTCCATTGAGTTGGTTGACCACCAACGCCGAATCGGAAATGATCTTGACTGTTTGAGCGCCCAACTCCTTGGCCGTTTTGAGTCCTGCGAGCACGGCCTCGTATTCTGAAGCGTTGTTCGTTTTCAGCTCACGGAATCGTATGGCGACTTCGTGAATTACTCCTAGGGGCGTCCGGATGACAAACCCGGCGCCTGCTCCATGCTTGCTCGCGGCACCATCGACACTGACTTCCCAAGTTCCCTCTTCCGTGGTTTCTGACACCACCCCTTCTGCTACGAAATCGGCGAGTACCTGTGCCTTGATGGACGGGCGCGGGGCGTACTTGACGTCGAACTCCGACAACGCGACCGCCCATTTGACGAGTCTGCCCGCAACGTCCATCGTACTCAGTATGCGTTTGAGAGGAAGGTTAGTGAGCACTACAATTTCGTGCGCCTGAAAATATGGCCGAAGTTTTTGGGAGGCGCTGACAAGCGCCAGTGCTGCCTTTTCTATCGCGGGGTACTTTCTTTCGGTCTTATTGAGGGTGCGCGACGTGTAGTACACCGGCTTTTCGATATTTTCTCTTTGGGAGACCAGCACTGAGCTCACTGCTTGGTGCGATACGGCAAGGTACAAAAAGAGCTTTTCATTGACAATAGGCGCGGTCATTACAAGGGGAGATGCAAGATGTTTCTTCAGTTCTGTGAATGCCGCCTCACAGCTTGGTGTCCACTTGAACCTGGTTCCCTTCTTCAGCGTTTGAAAGAAGGGGGCGCATTTGTCCGCCGATCTAGGTATGAACCGCCCCAATGCGTTCATCTTTCCGGCGAGGGTTTGTATTTCCGTGGCATTCCTTGGAGATTTTAGCTGCTGAATGGCTTCTACCTGTTTGGGGTCCGCCTCTATGCCGCGTTTAGTAATCATGAACCCGAGGAACTTGCCCGCTTCTGCATTGAATACGCACTTCAATGGGTTGAGTCTCAATTTATTGGCTCTCATGGCTTGAAACGTTTCGCGCAAGTCCTCTATGTGTGAGCCTCCGCTCTTGGTCTTGACGATGAGATCATCGACGTAAGCCTCCAGGTTCCGCCCAATCTGTTTTGCAAACACGGTGTTGATCAGGCGCTGATATGTTGCTCCGGCGTTCTTCAGGCCAAAGGGCATGCCCGTGAAGCAGAAGTTGCCGAATGGTGTCATGAATGCCGTCTTCTCTTCGTCCTCGCGGCTCATTGGTATCTGATGATAACCAGAGAACATGTCGAGAAATGACAAGGTCTCGTGATTTGATGTGGCGTCGATCAGCTGATCGATGCGAGGTAGCGGGTAGGGGTCTCCCGGGCAGACCTTGTTGATGGTGGTGTAGTCTACGCACATGCGCCATGCTCCTGACGCTTTCTTTACCAGAACCACATTGGCGAGCCACTTCGGGTAGCGCACCTCTCTTATCAGGCCAGCGGCCAGGAGCTTCCACAGCTCCTCCTCTATTGCTTTAAGCTTGTCGCCCGTGTACGTGCGCCGCCCTTGTTGGCGCGGCTTGGCTTCCTTTGGTACAGCGAGGCGGTGTTCTGCGATCTCCCTGGGCACCCCTGGCATGTCTTCAGTCGACCAGGCGAACAACTCTTTGAACTCTTGCAACAACTTGATCAATGGTTCAAGCGCCTCGTTCGGTATGTGTGTGGAGACGCGCACCTTTCGCTCAGGCTGCGCCGGGTCGATTGCTACCTCGAAGTCTGAGTCAACGGACTCTGCTCTTGGTTCCTCCTCAATGCGCGCATCAACTAGGTTGGCGCTGTTCTCTCCAACTTCGTTCGCCTTGTTCCATACCGCTCTCCACGCGCAACCTACACTTGAAGTTGTCGGGAACTTCACCTTCTGATGACAAGTAGACGCTATTGCGCGGAAGGTGGACATAAAGGGGCGCCCGAGGATCGCGTTGTGAGGCGAAGGGAAATCAACGATGGTGAACTCAACCGCCTTATGTTCTCTTGGTTCGTGATCACCTATGATGACGCGCAAGGATACAGTCCCCATCACAGGCACGCTCTCGCCTGAAAATCCGACTAGGCTTCCCCTAGAATGCTTGATTGTTTTTGGGTCGATGTCCATCTTGTCGAGCGTGCTCTTGAATAGGATGTCGGCCGCGCTACCCCCATCCACAAGCAGGCGGCGCGTTTTGCATGAGGCGATCAGAGCTGAGACGGTGAGCGGTTCTTCGGACGGCTTTCCTCTGGGATATTTGGAGTCGGCAAATTCCAACCGCTCGCTGACGCGATTGGTTGACGCGCACTCAGTTGCGCGTTCTCTTTTTGTCTTCTTCCTTGGCGGACTTTTGACAGTGACAACACCAATTTCCTTGCGCACTACATACCGCCCGTCTTCTTCGTATCCTGCGTTAGGCGGAGGAGGGGCAGTTTTTTCCTTTCTCTCGCCGTCGCCCGCCCCCGCGACGCAGTGGGCCAAGTGCCCCCTTCTTATGAGTGCTTCGATTTCCACCTTTAGTTGGTAGCAATCTTCTGTCATGTGCCCCGTTTCGCGGTGGAAGTCGCAGTATTTCTTGTGGTTTCGCCGGTTCTCCGGCACTTTCGATGGCGCGGGCCAGTTGACCCTGTATCCTTTCTCTCGGATTACATGGAACACGTTCTTGACCGTGTCGTTCAGAGGCGTGAACGAGTTCGCCTGACGCCGGTCGGGGGATCAACACCGTGGCATGCGGTCTTGTTGGGCGCCTCTCTGCTGCGCCGCCCCGGCGCCGTGGAACGCCGCGGGGGAGGGTTGCGCCGCATTTGATCCTCTCTCGGGGCACGAGAAGGCTCGAATCTCTGCACGGATCCCGCTCCTAACGTCTCTTCAAGTGTGATTGCCTTCTCCACTTTGGACTCTAGTTCCGATGTTGAGGTCACGGGCCTCTTTGCTAGAGCGCGCCTTAACTCGCTGTTAGTTGTCACATCCATTAGATGTTGCGCGGCGGTTTCCGGCGTGAGGTCGCGCACTGCCATGGCCACCCTCGACCACCGTGTGTAAAAAGCTCTCAAGCATTCTCCTTCCTTTTGTTTGAGGTCTACGAGTGCCTTGGGGTGAAGCGGGCGTCTCTTCTGTGACGCGAATTTGGTGGTAAACAGGCGGATGAACTCCTCAAATGTTTCGATGATTCCACTTGGCAACCGGTTGTACCAATCGAGGCATAGACCCGAGAAGGTGGATGGGAACGTGCGGCACATCGCCGCGTTGGACCAATTTTGTAACTGCATTCTGAGGCAGAACGCGCTGACGTGGTCCTCCGGGTCCGTCGTTCCGTTGTATGTCGGGAGGGTGGGGGGTACTCCGTTGATTTGTTCCATCATGATGTCGTCGCAGAGGGGCTGTCTGATCGCGGGTTTCCGCAGCCGGCGCGCGTCGTCCGGTGCGCGATACAGGGGCGAGAGGTGTTGCTCAAGGAAGTCAAGGTCGGCCCTTGGCCTGGGCTCCTGGTTCAGGGGAGCGGCGCGCTCCACTTCTCTTCTCACCGGAGTGGGGTTGGGCGCAGCGCCAGTCGCCGGCGCGTGTCCTCCAGTTATGAGGGCTAGAATCTGGTTCATTTGTCCCTGCATCTCCGTCACCGCTCGGTTATTGTGCGCCATCTGCGCGCGCATTTCCTTTGCCGACATCTCCGGTTCTTCTTCTTCGATCAGTACCGTGTTGAAGTCACTGGTGGATTCAAAAACCCTCCTATCTGTCACGCCTTTTAGTGGGGTCGTCTCTTCTGCCATAGGATTCCTGTCTTCTTCCGTCGCTCTCATCGCTTGCTTCCCAGACATACTCACGCCCCACGGTGGGCGCCAATTGTTTATGTCTCGCTGGTGGGGTAGGAGGGAAACACTAAGTATAAAGGAGTGTGAGAAGTGTGGGGTAAGCAGCGTGCCAAATAGATTATCTTATTGATGTGTTGGGAGAATGAACAGGTTACAATGAAGGTTCGTAGAGAGAGAAAGTTAGAGAGAGAATGGTTTCGTCCCTTTCTGGTTGATCCCCTTCTCTCTGTCATAAAGGCTGTATTTATACCTTCGTCAGGGTAGGTGAGCCGTACAGGTGGTGGGACCGGTTGTCGGACACTTTTGGTGCTACCCGTGTCGTGCGCATGCGCGCGAAGGTATTCGCGCACAAATCTTGGACGCGCCACGACTTAGTCTCCGACCCCAACAGGTACAATCTGAAGTTGTACCATAACGTAAATGTACAATTTCAAGTTGTACCATAAAGACAAAAACCTATAGCACCAATACTATGTAGCATTGTAAAATTCCTCTTGGGATTAGCAAGGAATGTAGTTTGCCTTGCCATGTATCCGTGCGACTATTTCGCACTTACCGAGTTAGCAAACCAGTTTCCAGCGGGAAATAGTTTAGTGGGTCTATTAGATTAGCAGCTTATTATAAACTTCCAGTCCGTCATCTGCACTTAACACTTGCAGTTCATGAATGGTGGTGATGGCCTAATTCTATTGCATGGGGCTTTGCTGATCTTTTCTATGCTATTAATGTTTTAACCTGCTCATGAGGTTAGAGATATTGATACTCATGGTTCAAGGTTGATGGTAGCCTGGTAGGTATTCCGACTGCTGCGTTTTTATAATTCATTTCCCTTTAACCAATGCCAGGTGCAGAGTGAATGGTGTGGAGATTGATCCCTGCCAGCCATTTCAACAGTGATTTCAATCAACATCACTCTACTATGTTTTACTTGCTTATTGAAAGGGTAGGTATTTCTCAGTTAATGGGTTGATAATATAGTTGAGATTTGAGAGTAAGGAATGAAGCCGGTTGGTCCGTTTTAGTATAGGGTAGTTTGCTACAACATATGGAAGTAGAGTGATTATCCTTGTAAAGTTCTTATGGATCCTGATGATAAGTTCTTTAATTTATAGACAATCAATCATCATTGTCCTGCAGCAATCTAAATCTCGTACCTATCATTCTCCTCTCACTAATGCTTGTGCCCTTTGCTTTCCCCTGCCAGGCTGCCACAGATAACTTAACCTGGATTGCACCTGCTCTCTTTCCTTGTTTGTCTCAGCTCACGTTTCATCATTCACTGCAATGCATTCAAATGCTATAACAGTACACTAAACTGATTGGATTATAGAAACCACTTTGCAAAGAGCTGTCTCAACTGCAAAGTTCTTTCTTCCTGGGTAAACCCAGAGAAACCCAGATTGTGGCTCTTTTAGTTTATGATTTTATTTATGAACATTTTGGTTTTATATATCAACTGATGACTGCGACAGCTTCCCCATCCTCTCTCTGTAACTTTTTGTTTGAAATTTTGCTCTGCCTTCTATCATCCTTCAGCCCTCCCTTTCTGAACTTTAGGGGCTGCCGCCGGTTCCCTTTTGGTGACCGGCGGTGGCCCAATCTCCCCATTTCCTGTTTTTTTCTTGCTTTGTTCCTTTCCCTCTGTTCCCGGTGTTGTGGTTGAGAATCAGTGGTTTTCTTTGAGACACAAGCACTCAATATTCAATTAAGCCTTGAGTTTCATTTTCTTGAAATCAAATTGAACCGCTTAAGCCTCGAGTTTCATTTTCTTGAAATCAAATTGAATCGTTTAAACCTCTTAACGATTCATTTTCAAGAAAATTATTTTACTCGGTTTTATTTTCGGTTTGATTCGGCTAAACAAAGCAATCTTCCCCTTTGTTATACATACAATATCTTTGACCAAATGATATGACAAGTTTTTTCATCTTCACTAAAAGACAAAAATTGAAATAGTAACTTTAGGAAAAAAGTGTAGCTAGCTTTTATATATAAAATAATAATAAGATAATGTAGCTCCATTGGGATCATTTTGTTAGAAATCGAACAGAAAAAACTAGGGTTATCGATCTGGCTGAGTCGCGGGTTAGGTCGCTCTTTTTAAGACGTTCGCGGCACTGCCTCGTTATTCGCACAGCAGACTATCAGTCGGTCGCCTTGAGGATAAAACAACCACTCTTTTGATTTGCTCAGCGATTTTGTGCGAAAAACCGGAGCTCTCTGAATCGCACTCTCTCTTGTGTTTATGCTCTCTGTGGTGTGCTTAAAGGGTCTGGAGCGTCTCCTATTTATAAGAGCAGAAAACCCGGAATATTTCATCTTTCTTTGGGAATAAGTCACATTTTAATTAGGGAGATAATTACTCCCATAATTACAATATAATCTATTAAGATAATTATTCCTAATTATCTCCATAATATTTCTTTTATTAATTATCCATCTTAATCATATTATGGGAAAATACTGGATAATTAATTAGGAATTTCATTATAGCTTTTCAAAACTATTCATCCCAACAATCCCCCACTTGAATAGTTTGAAACTATCTCTGAGCATCAACAATTCCATAAGATAGGACATAAGCTAAGGTATCGCGAAGATTTGAACCTTAACATAGTGATTACACTTCCGATTTCATAAGGGTGACTCGTAGTCTTGAACCCTATCTCAGACAATGTAGCACACCAGATCTTTTCATTGAGTGATATTCTCTCATAGGCCGTGCGTTTATGGCCATGCACGTTATCCCGGTTTAGTGAACGCTCTAGCAACTTTGTGCCTCCAAAGTTCCATAGGGAGCGGCCCCACTCCCACATTCACATAGGTGAGTCTATCAGGAGTACCCCCAAAGTAAAGTACTCCACCCCACATAGGGTATAGATCTCATTAAGAGTTGTTAACTCAACCTCCATTGCTTTGGGATTCATGCTTCACTATGCATGAACTTTTCGCATACTATTCATGACTTGTCATTACCCATTGAACCCATTTCTTGGGATCTCCAGTCTATTGTTCGGGTTACCATCACTTGTAGTCCGTGGTTCGGTAGGCATAAGTCTCATACCGTTGGCGGTATTTTGGACTTTCTCTCTAGATAATCCTTTCGTCAAAGGATCAACTAGATTCTGTTAGAACCTTACAGGATCCACCCTCATTGCTCCTATCGTTAGGAGTTCTCTTACAGTACTGTGCTTACGACGAATTTGTCGTCTCTTTTAAGTCTAAAACCGGTTCCCTTCTTTAGTAATAGTTGCGGTGCTATCACAATGAATCAACTACCGGAGGGATCGGTCTTTCCCATAAGGGAATCTCTAGTAATGACCCTCTCAATCAACTTTCCTCTTTACTAGCCATTGCTAGTTCTATCATTTCTGATTTCTTAGTTGATTGAGCCAGGATCGTTTACTTCTTAGACTTCCAAGACATCGCTTCTCTATCGATGTTTAAAACACAGTCTCTTGTTGTCTTGGAGTCCTCTATAGGGTATTCTAATCCGCATCACTATACCCTACCAATACAGCAAAACCTTTGATAACAAATACCAAGGTTTTTCTGTTTCTTTAAGGTGTCTCATGACCCCTTTCAATAGCATTTCAATGCTTCATACTAGGACAATCAGTAAGCCTGTCAAGTACCCCTACTATGTCGGGTCTCATGCTTACCAGCTGCCTCTCGCAGACTGTCGATGCTAGTATGTTCTTACTTTCTTACACCGTCTTTGGTGCTCTTAAAAATTATACTAGCACCATCAAACATTTATGCAGGTGTAGAGCTCGTATTTCCTCTAGATCTAACTGTGTAGTTAAACTGATCTAACTGTGTAGTTAAACTGATATAGATGAAATCTCTTTAATTGTCCTAGTAATATGGATTTCCGAGCATAACACTTGCTTCATCCAGATCTTTTTACCTTCATAATTCTCAAACAACATGGTTTTTCATAATATTGACATCACGAGTCTTTGTACCAAAGATCGAAGTGTCATTCATAATGCAAGTGTCATTCTCAAATTTGTACTAAATGCACTTGTCACTTTCATTTTAAAACCATGAGAGAGAACTCGATTGTTCATGCCACTGTTTGTGAGTCTGTTTCAAATCCTATCATGATTTGTCTAACAATAGACTCCAGAAGCATGTTCATGAATAACAATCCTTTTGTTTGTCCCATGTAGATTTTTTTTTTATCTAAGCCACCATTCACAAAAGAAGTTTAACATCCATATGATGGTTGTTATTCTAAATATTGGTGAATAGATATCAAAGAAATCTATAATTTTTCCTCTTCACCTAGAGCCTTAGCTACTAGGCGATCATTATACTCATAAACTAAACCATAATGTTTCAGTTTTTCTTTTAGGAATCCATTTATTACCTTGGCTTCATTGCCAGGAGGTAATTCTCAAAGATGCCAAATCTTGTTTGATTCCACCGATATATTACCCAAGGTTTGACAACCAAGAGGTAACTCTACAAGATTCTAAGTCTTACTAGACTCCACAAATTCCATTTCGTTAATAATGGATTCTCCCACAAATCTACATCTGTATGGAAGTTCGAACTTCTAGCAGACTTGTAGGATCTCTTCTTAGGGTGTAAATAACAAATTCATAACCAAAATTCTTCAATGATTTATGGTTCATTTGTCTCTTCTGAGTTCATACCCAGATTTATCACCCCCACTAGTTATCCATTATTTCTAATAGTAGGTAGGATATTACCCCCACTATTTCTTAATATAACTGGAATCTATTGGCATCAATGGTTTTCACAAACTAATGAGTATTTCGTTTCATAGGCTTATGTGTTTTACAATAACTTACACACTCATATGCTCTTCTAGTTATCATGTCACTGATTCTCTAACGCTACCACATGCATGCCACATATCGAATAATCAGTGCAATCATCATGCAACTAGGCATTTCAAACTATTTCGAATAACTAGTTAGACAATCACAGCACTCTTAAGAGCAATAAATTATTTATTGTCTTTTCCATCAACATAAATCAGATCTATTGATTCTGATTCTCTAACCACATATTTTATGGGTCATTTTGCTTGGATACAAAAATTTTATTTATCTCAAGCGTTCGAGAATAATAAGGGAATGAGACTTTAGATATTCTAATTCTTTACAAGGACACACACGTCCCAAAAAAGAATCCATCTTAGATCGTCTATCACAGACATGCCTTGGGGCGCTAGTATCCAACAACCATTCTCCAGAGTTACCATTAAGGCTAACCTTTGTCATCACCTAAGCGGTTATTATTGCCAAATCCTCTTCTTTAATCAAGTTAACACAATACTATGTTAAACTTGCTCTAACACTTTCGTGTCATATGACCTAGTTTTTCTCAAATTTAATTGAGAAACATAGCGTCATTCTTAGAGAATTGTGTGACAATCTTATGGTTACCACGATGGGTACCATTCTAATTGGTGTGGATTGATGAACCGTCATGGATCCGGTTCGACTTGCTACTCTCATTCTTGAAACTTTAATGTTTAAGAGCACATTAGTGGTTCATGTAGTACTGACAAACAATACTTCTTACAATATCGTCACTATGGGCAATTAACCCATTCTATTCCCATATATTCTTCATATATATACATTTTGATAAAACCATTCTATTCCAAATCATGTATTCAAATTCCATATTCTAATCATTGATGTAACACATCTCAATGTCGACATAAACATGCATCAATTCTATTTGTACTTCATTCTAGCATTCATAATCTTTCTCAATTTCATGCATAAAACCCGATGAAATTTGTCATTAATTAATGACTCACGAGGAAGGTTTCAGTTCTTACCTCCTTTCAAGAAGTCATTACTTTTTGAATTCGCAGCAAATAGCTTGCACCACACATAGCTTCCTTATTTCTTGAACATTTTGCTGGCAGAGGGCACTTTGACAATAGTTCATTTGGAGACTCTTCTCGTCCTCCCCTGCTACCCTCGAGATCACCTTCGAACTTAGCACATAGTATTGCACCCCCACTTATTTTATGGTTGTCAATTATGACTTCCAATTCTGCCGCCACAGATAGGGCTGCAAATGAGCCAAGCCGCTCGCGAGCAACTCAGCGTTCGAATCGGAAAAGACTCGTTCGACACTCGACTCGTTATTTAACAAGCCGGCTCGCGAGCCAACTCGTTAGTTAACGAGCCAAGCCTGAGCTAGACCATGCTCAGCTTGATAAGCTCGCGAGCTAGCTTGATTCGGTGGCTTGTCGAGCTAAGCTCGCGAGCTGCCTTGTTTTGAGCTTGGGGAAGGATGAATTACTCTTTTAAACATGAACATTGTCTTCTAATACAGATGTGTATGAAATTTAGATGTTATTTATAGTTTCTAGTGTTCTTTCTATCATTTAAATTCTTAT